ATATATATAACACAGCATTTATTAATCTAGGTTAATTTACCTTTGTTCTTCAGGTTCATCCATAATATTTTAACTGATTCATTTATACAACTGAAATGTTAAACATGTATTAGTTTATGTAGAAACACTAATCCAGTATAATAAATGTTATAGCGTTAACTAGTTCTAACGTAGGGAACCTCTTTGTAAAGTGTTGCCTATTGGTTAAACAGAAACTGAGCAGCTGGAGAAGATACAAACCCTAACATCACAGAATCCAACAAAATAAATTTTGACTGGAAGTGCTGAGTAAGGATAAGACTATCTAACCTCAAGCAGACTGCTGTTTTTCTTTTAAAAAAGGAAAGTATCTTGTATCATAAAAAAACAACAACTTCAAATAGTGCTATTGATTCAATGCATACAATAAAAAAAAGAAAAAGAAAAACAAAGATATTTGTGTGAGGCTTATAATTTTCTTTTGCTTTTCTCTGCAGTCTGAGCGTGTGGCAAGGCTTGCCAATGTCAGCAAACCTAACATTACTTACTCTTCAACAAATTTGTTAGTCATTGCTCAGAGCCGGGCTCTTGCGCATGACTTAGATGGCCATTGAGATGTGGTGTATTGAAGGGGAAGGAACACACTCTGGCCCAAAGCTCATGCCCGATGACACAGAGCAAGCAAGAGAACTGGAAAGGTGGAATTCTCCTCGAACTCTCCTCGAGAGTCGCAGGGCTTTCAAGGTGAATTTGGACGAGAGGTGTTCCGCTGGTTAATCTTGACAGACAAAACATTGTTTCCGGAGGCGATCCGTCGCTAAAAGATCCCCAAGGCTCGGTGATAGCATCGCAGAGGTTTAATCGTGAAACAAACTAGTAACCTACTCTGGTCATGTATTTTGCCTAGAGCTTTTCTGAGTACTGTGGAATCAGACAAAATGCATCCAAGCTTTTCGTGTGGAAGAAGCACACTGAAGCCTAGCTGAGTATCATGGGCTGTTTCAAATCAAATATCTGCTTTTGGCTCTGAGGTTGAAATTTTTATTGTTGTCAAATGAACCAGATGTACAGTTGGCTGTGTAGCAGCATTTTGATGCCATTGATCTCTTCTAATAGAGTTTTTTTATTGTATTTTTTTTTTCTTGACAAAGAAAAATATATATACTTGCCATTGGCCTACTCTTCATTTACAGTATGCTAGAAAGAAGACCGGAAATGTTGTAAGGCGAATTCAAACTCAAGTCACCCACATGAATAATATAGCTCAGCATGCATGCATTATTTTTTTTAGTTTCGCTTTGATATTAGCTCTGTTACCTCTGCATCGATACCTCAGGCAACAAATAAACAGCCTCAGGCTACTGATGAAGTGTATTTTTTTTTCTTTTGTATACAGCACAACCATAATGCATGCAAACTGCCAGGCTGCAGCTTTGACAATAAATGCAGATATTCTCGCAATAGCTTTTACAAAATGCGATCTTAACAAATGCATGATTTTCTATCACGGCTACACATAATGTCCTATCCGGTGTATTCTGCCATATGTGCGAGCACATGCCTCGCTGAAATCTTTAGAGAGCGAATCCATGCACCAGTAACACCCATCTAGCATCTCGCAAACCCTCATGTTGTGACATTTCTGCTGTGAAACAGTGTAAAGTTCTCTTTTTGAGGCTCTGTCACAGTTTTTGCCCTGTGTAATGTAGTTTTGATACAGAGACTAGATCAAATACTCTGTGATCTTTCACACTTAAATTATTTAAGGTCCCAAGATTTTTTAATTTAATATCATGCACATCGATATCTAGCCTCTCTCTTTCTGGGGATTAGACTCGCTCCTCAATAAGATATGATGCACGTCTCGTTTGTACATTGTGTCATGTTGCCGTTTTTCTGCTCATTTAGAATGTGACTACTTGTTTCTTTTCCTTTATTTATTAGGCCTGATAGCTTACCTTTGAGACAGATCGATGCTGTCAGTCACTATAAATGAGAACCACTCCACCAATTATAGCTAATTAAGTTAGCCTCCACCAGTCAGAACACTCAAATCCCAGGTGTTTGTGAACGGCTCGTCTGCTGGTGCAGAATTTGACTGAATACCTGAAAAGAATTACAAGGGTGGTGTTACTCATCATGTCGGCCAAAAAATGAACCGTGCAAGCGTGACAATTCTAGTATGTCAGATGCACAGCAGAACATATGGAAGTTTCATGTAACATGAAATAAATCTGCAAGACAACATGTCTGTTCCATTTCATTAGATTTATAAATTTGTGCGACACTCTCAACATATGTGATGGGATAATAAAAAAAATTGATTGGGCCTTTTGCACTACAGCAGATGAAAAACATTTAACCTGGACTGTTTTTGCTCTTTGCTCATTGCGAATAAATATACAGGTAATTTATTTCTTATATGAAACTTTTTAAAGTCTTTCAGCACATAGCACTTTTAGTAATGAACTGACAAAAGCCGCAGTTGTTGTTATGGCTACAAATCAAATCAGTAACCACCATAACAATTTGCACAGACTTTGGCTTCACAAACATGCAAATATGTAATGCAAACATGGCAGTCAATTAGATGATAATATCCAAATTTTGTTACATGCCACAGTTGCAGTGAAGTTGACACTTGTCAGAGATACAACCGAGCGCCTCTTTGTTCTACCACTCCGGCTGTGTGTGTGTCTCTGTGTGTGTGTGTGTGTGTGTGTGTGTCTCATTAAATGTGGATGGTGAACTTGCTGCAGATTGCCTGGAGATTGCCGCTCTCTCTGTGTAGCAGAGAAGCCCCCGTCCGTAGATGAGATGCGATTGACATTTCTCACTGGCCCTCCGCGGGGTGTCTGTAAGGATCTTGAACCCATTCAGACTGGCTCCAAAATCAAATCACTGCCACCGCCACCGGTCTCAATGGCCACATCAATTATTTAGCACCGACTCTAGTGATTCAATAGGTTGGGGGAATTTGATTTTTACAGGTTCCTCTGGCCAGCATGACCTTTGACATCGGTCTGTGCAAAAGGGAGGACAATGATAATGTACCAAAGGTTAGTCACCTTATGCTGATTTGTGTGTAAAATGGCCCTTATTGATGCTTGTTCCAAAAAAATTATACTAAGTGTGCCGAAATATTCTCCTTTGTACATACTCCAGCGAATCTCCCATGGATGATGATTTTTTTCAGAAGAATGTCCTCGATTCCTCCAGTTGGTAATGTTTTGGAGGTAGCTTGGGGTTATCTGAGCTAATTAAAGTTTGATTTGATCAAAGTACACTCTTTTTCAGCTTGAATTTTAATTAGGCGATGGGTCACTGGACCCGGTCCATTGCAAGGACATCTGCAGACTTTCTAACGTAATCTGAGACTCTTTTAAATTCAATTTAGGGGATTTAATAGACAACGGTGGCTTTCGGACAGTGCGGGGATAACCATCTTGTCTACCGGCTTCCCGTCGGGACAAAGGGGGCGGCGGTCTCCCGAGACGATCTCTGCGGCCCCACTTTGGGC